CAAGACGATAGCTACCCCCCTCAGCATCTGCCACAGCAGTAGATACGCTTCACCCTTACAAAAAACAAAACATCAAGAGGAAAACTCCTTCTGCAGACTGTTGTAATGACCAGCTCCGTTTTTGCATAAATACACAAGATATTTTGTGAAATTTGGTTTAAAAGGATCAAAACATACTGTATAATGCTAAATTAACTTTTGTGTACCCTATTAACCAAGCTACAACATTGTCCCTCATTAAAAACAGACTTGGAGTTGTTTTTAAATCCATCCACGCTACTGCCAGGGACTTCTGGCACAAACATGCTGCACTCAAACCTGTCGTTGTAAATGTGTTCACAAGTCACAGGTATCACGGCCTCCTCGAATTCTAATCCATCCATCCATCCATCCATTTTCTTCCCCTTAATCCATTTCTGGGTCGGGGGGGTGGCCAGAGATTCCACCCAGCACACAGAGCACCAGCCCCTCACTGATCCTCCTGCAGGTGGTGAGTCCACAGGAGCTGAGATCTTTCAGTGGGAGCTTCAGGCAAAGTGGGGTTAAGTGTCTTGCCCAAGGACACAACGACAGCAGTCATCAGTGGGAGTCGTGAAGTAGGTCTTACGGTGGGCTCGAACCCACGACCTTCAGGCTCAAAGGCCAATGCTCTACCAACTGAGCTACTGTCGCCCCGAATTCTAATCCGTGTCTTTTTAATCAAGCGGAGGCCATTTGAAACCATTGTGGGGATGGAGTTGACGTAGATGTGGCGGTGTACCTGGCTCTGCACGGAGTAAAGACATTGATTAAGGCTGCAGCAGACGGATTCCTGTCTACAAACGTGGAAGCTAATGTTTCTCAGAGCAATGCTGAGTCTGCAACAGGATGTCTTATGGCACAGAAATACTGTATAAGCCTGACGAGAAATCACAGAGCAGGGAATGGATATAACACCAAACATAAAAAGCCCTTTGAAAATGTACAGGTGGCTTCTTCCAATTCATGTGTGTGTGTCTTTTCCCTCTGTGACAATATCAGGCTAATTAAAATCGTAGCTACTCGTATTCATGACTAATTAGTTAACTGAAATGGTGGTTCCAAAGTGGGCTGCTCTTAATTAAGACGGGAAAAGTGAGGTATTTCTGAAGACGTCTGCCACTGCACGCACACAGCCAGAACAGATCACAGGTCCAACAAGAAGTTCTTAAAGAAATGATGGTTAACAGTCAGCAGAACACAAAACAACATATATAACAGACACGGTGAGATAAATCTTGGTTTTCAATGAGGCTATAAGCTTATACAGGTGAAACTCAAGTATAATGCTTTAGACTCAACACAAGCAAAGTGACATATGCCAAGCCTTTGTTTTGATTTGGATGATTATGGTTTACAGTCAATCTAATTTTCTGAGATGTTTAGTTGGGGTTTTGAGCCATAATTATCCACATTATTAAAAAATAAAGGCTTGATACATCTCACTTTGCGAACAAGCCTGCCATTATATTATTTTCACATTGTAAGTTGAATTACAGAAGTCGATGGACTTATTAACAATTCTCTAATTTTTCAAGTTCCACCTGTGTATTATTTAATGTCTTTGTAGAGAAATTTGGACATTTGCTTTTACCTTCTGCCTTCACGCAGAAAAATGCTCTAAAATAAATACTGCACTGATAGACCAGGGATCAGGGATAAAGGCAAGTCTTCATGTAAAAAACAGGACTCACTTTAAGAAATGGGTGGAGTCTGGTGTGCTCCTGCTTGGTTGGAATGAAACCCCGCAGACACACCAGCCCTTAAGGACCAGTTTGATACGTCACATGAACGTGTGCTAAAAGGTATATATACATGTATAGAGTCTCTATATATACATACATAGAGACTTTATTTAAGGGGTAAGTGGTCCAACTCAGTCCCAGCCGACCAATGCCACCTCAGGTAAAATACTCCATGTGGTGGACTGCGTATAACATCATTACAGCCTTAAATCAGATTACGACCCTTCTGTGTGAATGTGTTGCTCCTGCGTTTAGGTGAAGGGCACTATCTGTCACACTGTGCCAGCCACAGAGCTTGTCAGGCCCTAATCCACTTCTTGGTGCAGTGTATAGATTACCTCTATAGGCTAATGGATAAGCTGTGATAGTGTTTGCACAAGTGGCAGGAGCGACACAAAACGGCTATTTGTTGATTCAAGGACTTGAGTCAATGACGTTTTCCAAAGGCACAAATGGAATAAAAGCAACAAGATGTAAATACAACAAAACAAGTGACTGGTTAAACATCACTTTAGTGCAGCCTTTTTGTTTTTCATAAAAGCAAGGGTTACGTATGTGAGATTTCATAACACTTTGAAGCAACTATGATTGAAGTTTTAACTCTTCATTCTTACACATGCAGAAGCCAGTACTTTTCCACTTGATGTTTTGGTTATCTCAAGGTTGAAGCCACTGGCACCGTGGCAGCTGCGGATTGGAGGTCTTCATTCCTCCGCTGAGTATATTATCACTTGCATTTTGTAAAATCCTTGTTGCTCCACCATCATCAATAAAACATGTCTTCTGTCTGAATTAAAGACACGATCCCAGACTTTGTCATCTTCTTCACGTACATTACTTAAGTAACTGGCATTGAATGTTCCACATAAGGCCCTTTTTTACCTCAGATCTGACTTGGGGAAAAACAAGTGATGCCAAAATGTGAAACTGTTTAAGCAAAGGGTTATCCCACACAGTTAAAGTACTCTTTTAAACATACCTTCTCAATCTAATTTAAATTGCTATAAGAATAGAACAGACTTACCTCGTGTGTAAGGCCAATGGCCTTGCTTCTTTCAGTGTGCCCCAGGTCAGCTGTGGCTACAGTAGTAGTTTATCACCACTGTGTTTGGAGTGAATGAATGACATGTGAAGCGCTGTATTAAACTAATGCATTATTATAATGTATGCAAAAAAACAAAGTAAAATACATTTGAAAAACAAGGTTTAATTGTTTTGTTAAAATACATGTATGAACTAGAATCATGTTTGGTAATTAGTTTTCACATGTATACAACATTCTACGATAAGTGGAGAAAGCTTTTGAGGGGACTTTATTCTCACAATCCCTCCATAATGTGTGCTGTGCACTCATGTGGAAAATGAATTTCTCAGCCCATTGTCTCCCACAGCCCACACCTGTCTGCTCTATACTCTACACTGATACGTCTACAGTAGTTTGTTACAACTGTGTTTTCTTATGAGCTCTGCTGATCAAACCCTAATAACTTGTGTAGGTTACAATCAATATTATTCTGGAGTTATGCAGTATACCTCTGCATAGAGAAGCAAAATAAACACGACATAATTATACATTTATGTTTGTGCTGCCAAACGTTGATTCTAACCTGTTCACAATTTGAAAACCACGTATATGCTTTCTAAACATTTATGGGTTGAGGATAGAATAAAAACGGTAACAATATTTCTCATATTTCCCCTTGGCCGTCTCGCCTGTACATCACAGCACCTCAATCTTCCCTGCCCCAGACTTAACATTTGGCTCCTTCTTTCTCAGTTCACACACTTATTTGAATTTGCATATGGCTTATAATTAACAGCTAGTCTCATTTGCATTTTGTCGAGGAATTTGCATATGATTTGGGAATCCCCTCACCCTGCAGTGTCTGATAGCCTGGCACGATGCCAGGAGTGAGGGAGACTGAGGAGATTTAAGACGGAGGAATGGAGGCAAAAAGAAAGGAATGGGGGTAACTGATACCCATCTTTTAAAACATTTAGCTAATTAACAAGCTCTTTAGGGCATCTTTGAGATCGCCTATAACCAACAGTGGAAACACTACAGTTAGCGGCGTACACTTTACAGTACATTTTCAATAATTCTAAGCATTTGTGAAAAAGGAGCTCCGGACTCAATGACAATGAACCATATGCGGTAATTTCCTTAGTTGGTTTGAACTAGTGTTTTGAAAGGACTATGGACTATGAAAGTTATTTTGTTTATTTATGGCTAAAAATGCTGCACTTGCGTATTTTCCTCAAATTGATACCAATTAAGAAGCATCCAGTGCATTCAAATAAAGTGTGCTAATCAGCCATGCACAGATCTCAGACAGACATATTGATTTTAGTTAATCAAGGAAAAGCTTAATGACAAAGCGATTAAAGAGCTACAGAGTTAAAACCGTCGTCTGCAGCAACAGGAAATTTGGATTACTCTTAAAATGTGAAAAAAGTTCAATATTTTTTATTTAAAATAAGATAAACATTTGATATTAGTACAAAAACATTGGACAGAAAACACAAGAAAGTCTGCATTGGCATCAAAAAGGCATTGTGTGGGACAAAGAACAGTGGTGTATATTTCAAAAGGATAACTGCTTTAGATATATATTATGCATTTTTTTGTTTACAATGTCACGGAACAAACCAACTATAGTCCAGTTCAAATTGCATCGGAAAGCCAGCATTTGCCAATAAATAAGGCACCGTGAGGCCAGGTTAATGATGGTGTTAAAAGGGCAAATGTTCACATTTTAAAATGTGCATATACTTTTCATCTTAAAATAATCACTAATATATTTATTTAAACAAACTTTAAAGTGTAAAACAGATGGAGACATTAAAAAAGACAGGCGATTGGCTAAGGTAATGAGAAAGTATTTTTGGCAATCTTGAAAAAGCAGGGCTTTATTAGCTGCTGGCATCTTTGGCCTTGAATACTGCCAACTGATCAATCTATGTTCCTGTATAAGTGAGTAGGGCCTGGCATACTGCTAAAAAACGTTTACATTTTTTTTTTATTATAGCTATTCTGTATTAAGTCATTTGGCAGATGTTGAGAATTTGGTGTTGCAGAATATAGCATGAAAGCAGAGCACATGACAAAGCTCCACATGAAGCTTCAGACTGAGGGTCGGAGCCGACATCAATAGTCCATCAGCTCATGTCCCTCTGGGCTCTGAAGCCAGTCTGCCAGCAGTGCAGTGTGTGGGTACAGCCTGCAGAGGGCGCCGCTTACATCTCATGAGCAGAGTGGTCCAAGAGGCCGTTACTGTGGACAGCTCCTGTGTTGTTTTCGTTCAGTCGCCGCACACGGTACATCTCATAATGCATGGTGCTGGTAATGTCCTTAATGTTCTGCATATGGGTCCTGTAGAACGAGAAACATTTGTGACAAGGCACTCAAATAGGTTTTCAGTTATATTATGTGAAGCAAATACAAACATGGCTTACCTGATGAGAAGATCTCTTAAATAGGCAAATTCACAATGGGCAATGTTCTCCACTAATGGGGAAAAAAACAAGATGTACACGTGTCAGGACAGAGATGATAGAAATACAGAAAATCAGACTGGAAATTATTCTGAGGTTTGTCCAGTAGGTGGCGCCACAGTGATACAGATAATAGATGATTGACCGTAACAATTCTATCTGGGTCTATTGATATCCTTCGTTTACCTTCAATAGTCCCCCACTTGGTTTTCCTGCCCAAAAGCCTCCTGCCGTTGACCTGGTACTCCTGGTCACTGCCCACTACAGCAAAGGGGATCATTTCCTGTAATTAAACATAAAATGCAAAAAAGGATATCAGGCACAAGTGGCAATAAAACATAAAATTGAGAATATTTTATGACTCTGGAGAAAAAAATTACAAATGTGAAAGTATTGTTTGGCAAGTTTTGTCAACTCACTCTGATTTTTTCATTTATCATTCTGTCCTCCTGGTCCTCATCAAACTCTTTTTGTGGGTACACGTCAATCCCATTGGCTCGTAGTTCTTCCCTGATCTGTTGGACACGTTCAGAAACATAATACAGTAAATAAAAGGTAAACAAATAAACATTATGAATGAGTTCTGAACCTTTTGTTTGAAGAAGTCCCTCTCCTCCAGGGTTAAAGTATCTGCTTTGGCAATGACCGGAACAATGTTGACCACTTTACTCAAGCGCCTCATAAATTCAACATCTAGAGGCCTGAGACTGCAACAAGGGAACATTTGCATTATTAAGACATCCTGCCTGAGCCTGACCTTTATCGTAAGGATTTGAGAGAACAGCACATTATTAATGTCTTTTACTTTTTAACAGAGAAACAAACACATCTTTGTCCTGCGACTGTGTCATGACAAAGACAACGCACCCAGACCCACACAGACTCAGTGTCTCTGTCCTTCCTGCCCTTCTCCCATTAGGCTTTTAAGGCAAAGTAGAGCTGCAGCAGCTGCCAGCAAACCATGTGACATAAGCAAGAGTTGGATCAACATGAACTTGAGTCGATTGAGCCAATGTGGCACAGAGACAGGGGCCCGCACAGTATGTTATCAAGCAAGAAACACTTATGATGATGCTCTCCAATCAATATGGCCGACACACACATTGTAATCACACAAACAAATAGGTACATTTATAGTCACACATAGGTGAAACTCTGATAGATCAGATTAGAGTGTCTTTCAAAAGTCCATTTACTTTTGTAATTCAACTTCAATCCAACAACAATATGAAGCTAATATATGGCAGACTAGAATTTATTTGTTATAATGTTGATCATTATGGCTCAAGGCTTTGATTTAGAGATTAAATTCACTTCTAACTTTCTCCATCCTACATTGCACAAATCTATTTGAGTGTAGTATAAGATGTTTCATAAACAGCATATGTTTTGCACAGGAACCTCTGAAGAAGATGACAAAGTCTGGGATCGCGTCTTTAATTCAGACAGAAGACATGTTTTATTGTCGATGGTAGAGACAGCACGAACAAAGCACACGATCACAGATACAGGAGAATGCAAGTGTATTATACAGAGCAGAGGCATGGAGACCTCCAATCAGCAGCTTCCACAGTGTGCTTGTAGCTTGGCCTTCAGATAGACAAAACAAGGGAAAAGTACTGGCTTCTGCACATTGATAGAATGATGAGTTTAACTTTAACAAAAGTTGCTTCAAAGTGTTATGAAATCTCACATTCCCCCCTCTGGTCATACATTCACGTGTGACCATCAGGATCGATAAACAGCAACATAACATCATAACTCAATACTTCAAAACTCATACTTCACTCGGTACTTCAAAAAACTCAGAACTCGGAATACTTCAAAAACTCAGAAAACACATAAAACATGTTCAGATCTTTCATAAAACTTGTCAACAATCTTCAGTAAAATACCAAACTTCATCAGTCGATGGTGGTTCCAGATATTGCTTTGAAAACAGTCTCTCCCACTTCTCCGTGTTGATTTCTTCAGGCTGCATTTGTGTCGAGCCATGAATTCTTCTGTGACGTGTCTTTCAATCACACGTTTCAGCTTCAGTGTCCAGATTCAGCAATTCAATTCAGTCCAAATTATGTCCAAATTCAGAAATCCAAATTGTTCCAAATCATGTCCATGCAAAAGAGGACGATGGTGTTTTCCATGTCTCAGCAGCTCACAGCCTGACTGGAATCAGGGGCTGTGCAGATTGTCCATGTGCTGGTCCAGATGCATTGTTTCTCTTGAGGTTTTTCAGTTTTGGCTTAAAAAAAACACTTTTTGTGTAAAAAAAAAAAAGTCTTCTGTTCTCTAGATGTTACAGACAATGCCCGCATCCTCCACCACCTGAAGAAGATGACAAAGTCTGGGATCGCGTCTTTAATTCAGACAGAAGACATGTTTTATTGTCGATGGTAGAGACAGCACGAACAAAGCACACGATCACAGATACAGGAGAATGCAAGTGTATTATACAGAGCGGAGGCATGGAGACCTCCAATCAGCAGCTTCCACAGTGTGCTTGTAGCTTGGCCTTCAGATAGACAAAACAAGGGAAAAGTACTGGCTTCTGCACATTGATAGAATGATGAGTTTAACTTTAACAAAAGTTGCTTCAAAGTGTTATGAAATCTCACACCTCACTGGACATGTCAGCCATGGAGCTGGTTTGGAATCATTGTATAGGACAGAGTTTCAGTTCCTCCCATAGGTACTACAACTGAAAACTAGTTTTGTAACTAAAACTGGCATTATAGAAAAGGTCACTAATAGTCACTGTTCCTGTTCAAATAGATCAAATAAAATAAATGAATAAAATCATTGAAGAGGAGTGGACAAATATTCCAGAGGCTTCAATCAACACCCTGATCATCTTTTCATTGTGAAAAGAAAATGATGTCACACGAGATTCTGACTCCCAGGGCCTGAGGCACATGCGCAGTATTTATGCAGTCTAATCAGCATCCTGTGATAAGGGACAGATTGTCTCAGCAAAAAATAAGCGACCACAATACCTGAAGGGTCTATCGAGCATACAAATGGGAGCAAAACACTAGCTCTGCATTTATATTTGTGTTCAGCGTAATAACAATTGCATCATACTTAGTTATAATGCGCTTTAAAGCAGTTAGCAGCTGAGCTTAGGAAGATCATATCAAAGCCTTTTATGACCAGAACCTCACATTGTTTGTGTAAGGTCCTGCTTTTATTTTGCACAATGTTTATATGATCAAATATCCATACACGATGAAATACCATAACCAATATAAATGGTGGTAAATTTGCTCACCAGTGGCCGGTGGGAGGGATGAAGTATATACAGCAGTGGACCCTTGAGTCAGGGATCCTCTTCTTTCTATCGATGTTGATTTCCTCTTGAAGGTACGCTTCATACTGGTCATTAATGAATCTCATAATGGGCTGCCAACTGGTGAATAGCAAAAAACTTGTAGGGCAAAGGCATATTAAAAATGAAAAACGTATGAGCCAAAAGGAGTTACCAGTTTTCGTTGTTGATCTGGTCTCCAAAGCCTGGAGTGTCAATTACAGTCAGTTTCATTCTTACTCCCTTCTCTTCAATGTCTGCAAGCAAACTCGTTCTTAAAACACAGACCATCTTCACACAGTGTGATGAGAGGTTTCACACCTCCTGAAGCTTACCGTGGCTGATGGACTTTATCTCAATAGTTTTGGGGATCTTCTCTTGGGCTGTGGCCTGCACAGATTTGCGGCTGACTTTAGACTTGAACAGTGTGTTCATCAGTGTAGATTTGCCCAGGCCACTCTGCCCTGTACAAACAATCACAAAAACTGTATTCAAAACAGTACAAGAATCTGAAAAACCAACTGCCTCAATAAAAGAGCCCTGATATAATTGAGGCAGTGTCACTGGGATGCTGTTCAATGCAGTGTAAACTTAGTGACAAACAGTAGGTTTCTGTAGCAACACCGAATCCAAACACAGCAGAGTTATTACTGCTCCTGGGAGTAAAGCAGCAGGACCAACTCTTTCAGGCTTTGTGTGTGAACATTTGTAAAGATGTTTTGATATCTGTGCCGATACAATACTTGTCAGCAAGGATAAAGAAGTTAAGTCAAAGTAGCTTGAATGGTTTCCCCTTTGTTTTTCTACTTCATTTTCCCACAGATCCTTGATGAGCACCTGACCACTTACATTTTACCCTAATATAACAAAAGAATAACACTTTTCATTCTCTCCACACTGCTGCTGCACGTTTTGTGTTGATGGGGAAGCCACCAGAATGTCTTTTATGATAAAGCTAAATGAAACGACATATTTTACAGTCCAATTGAAAGAAATGTGGTCGGTCTCAAATCATGCTCAACACATACCTGTCTTGACACCAGAGAATTGTGCATGTCTTGCTTAAATGTTGGTAGACAGTTGGTAATGACTTTGCATCTTGCTTAAACACTCACCTACAACCATAATGTTTAGCTCAAAGCCCTGCTTCATGGCCTTCCTCCTCATCTGCTCCAGGATGGCATCTATGCCGACATAACTGAAGTCCACCACTGGTGCGCTGGGCTTCTCCCCGTACACAGAGCCCACCTCAGGGTGCACTGGCTCAGACATGGCACTGCTGTAGCTGGGTGTCACCTCCGGTCCTACAGGGACAGAGAACAAGCCATCTGTTAGGGTTACATGTGTTTTATGTACTAGATTTGTTCTCAAAGACATTGTCCAGACTATTCCAATAATCATAGCTTTAACTATAATGTAAAACAATGCCAGTGATACAGTAACTACTGTTGCAGAAACATTGTGAGCAAAGCCTCAACTTCTAACTAGAGTTTAGCAAAACAAGATTAATATTTTCAATAGAAGTTTGGAAAATAAAAACCTTTAAAATACAATTCAGTATAAAATAGACCAAATGTACTTTGTTCATTCTTGAAATACACCCAAGTTCAGAAAGATTGGAACAATCCCAGCAGCACAGATCCAACTCCCCTTCAAAACTAAAGCGTATCATATTACATGCTCACACTTGGCTTGGGCTTATCACAAGTTTGTACCAGTGGATTATCCTGCCTCTTTTTGAGAGAAAGCCTAAACATATTTGACTACGTTAGATTTGAATGTTTTGTTTAAACAAAGTTTAAAAGAAATGTAGAAGCTTGTGTTGCGTCTGCACGTCTTGTGCCTGTCCAGTGTAAGCTTCCCTTGTGGAGGCCTCCTGCACCATAACTGTCCTCTGAGTGAAAAAAGACTGAGCGCTCGAGCTGAAACTCGACCCTCTCCCAGCAACACTGTATCACTCTCAGCCGTAGACACAATGGTGACCTCACACACCTGTGGCTTTTTGACAAAAACACACTGTAAGACTGATCCAAGTTCCAGGAATTTCACCGCTATTCGTTTAAGGACTGCCATTATTCACTGTTTTTACAGTTATCACATGAGGCCTTTCCACAAACTGCAGCTCTGCCGGTCTGTGTTGCACTAACTAAAGTAAAACTCTAACCTCATGTTGATTTGATTAACAAAACTGCACCAAGAAAAGCATTTTCAGTGCAAAGTCTGTCATGGAGCCCCACCTCCTTCACCTCTTCCTGTCCCGTAGCTCCAGCAGCCTCACCCCGACACTCACCTCTGCATCCTCCGCTCGCATTCTTCCGTCTTTCCTCCTCACTAAACAGTCTCCACTCAAGAGTTTCTTCTTCCTCTGACTGTTCTGGCGTACAAATCCCTTCATACTCACATTAGGCCCTTTGCTTTCATTGTGCTCATTAGAAGAGGACAGTTCTGTTAATCTCCTCTAGTTTTATGGTTAAAGATTGAGCCAATGGCATCTTGCTTTGAAGCCGTAGTCAAACATGAAGTCTTTTAAGCACAAAGTAACCGCAGAGAATGAGAGGTTTAAACGTTTATTTTAATATACTTTAAATAATCATGTACGCATGGAGGTCGGATGCATACAAATACTGGTAGGTGATTCAGGAAAAATAATGCCTCTTATTTCAGGTTATCAGTTGAGGTTTGGCCAAAGCATTATTAGTGTGCAAATTATTCCAATTATTTCACAAAGATATTTGGACCAGTGAGGCAAAACAAGTGTCCCCTTCTTTGGTCAGAAAAGTGACCAAAGAAGGGTAGGAGTCGGGGATTGTATAGTAAATGCTTGCAGCCTATGTGCTAGTTTTAATATAGTGTTCAAAATAATGTCTAATCCTGAGCAATAAAAAACTTGTACAGTTGAAGTGGTTTGGTAACCTCCAGTGAAAAGAAACGACTTGGATGCAGATGTCACAATAGGAGTAATGTGCTTTGAGGAAAAAGCCGTCATGTTGTAAGTTGAATTGACCTATATTGAATCGGCCATTGTACTACGACGCATACTGTCCATTCATCAGACAAGACCAGAATGTATAGAAACTGATCAAAGCCGTTTAAAGCTTGTATGAAAAAACCCCAAAAAACTCTTGGTTCCCTCCCTCTTTAAAACCACAATGAACCTATTCCAACAACAATGCCAATTTATTTCCCCAGAGAGGCATCACCGGCCATTGAAAACACATGTATTTTTTGTATTTAAAACATGTATTATTCGGAAATCGAGACGAGGAATGACTCACTCGACCTGCACACATTCTGTTTCCAATTAGAGCCAAAGCTTGTCCAGCGGATTTACATTCAACACTGAGGAAAACGGCACAGAATCATTTGTTTGGTACAATGGTAAACCAGTAGAGCAGGGCACCAGGCCACAACTGTTGACAATTGATCTTGACAACGCGGTGTGTATGTCATAGGTCATGTTCTCAGTTTATGTTAGAAAGCTCAGGACAACTTCAGAGATCCATGTCAAACTCTCATCCTTACCCCAAACCCCTGAGAAGCACCGCTAACGCCTCAAAGCGCTTTATGGACCTACTAAAACATGCATCTGTGCCATTTATTGTCAATGCCAGTTTGCCACACTGGAGCACCACGACAGAAGACTTTCAAGCTAAAACCTCCAGAACTTTCCAGAATCTTTTGAATGATAAAATGATTGAGTTTGAATCCGAGTGGTCTCTGTGCAGACTGTGGGGAGCACGAGCCTGCGTTCCCACCCTGGGACAGTGAATGCCTCATAAAGGGGGAAATTGTAGTGAAGGCAGTACAAACACACACTGTTGTGTTATTAAAGCCACTGTGTTTGAGCAACAAGGCCCACTTCCCAGAGTCCACAGCAATGTGACCTTTGCCCTTTTGCAGGACCGGACTTTCTCATCTTGTAACCTGCGACCAGACAATGTCACAATAAAAACAAACTTGAATCGGACGGTCTGTTTTCGTATGTCAGCTCCGAATGTTTGTAAACGGCTGTAATGACAGTAGCGTCGTAATGATGCACTTAGGAATGCACTTAAGTCTGAGTGACTCTGGAGCACAAAACACAAACACACATTTCTAGAGTTTGAGTAACTGCTTACAAATGCTCCTGAAAAGACCTGCTTTTTTAGTAATACTTCACTCAAATGTTTCACTTCACTTCAATTTTTCCATTGTTTTTAGTTCTTACACATTTGCGTTGATACAAAGCCCCCATGGTCTGAAAGAAAGAAAAAGTTGCCAAAACATTTTAAGAATTGATAATGACGACTTGAGAGTGCAATGCTATCTTTAAACTGTTCATAATATTTTCTAGCATCTGCTCAGAGTTTTCTTGTGTGTGGTTCTTACTTCCCTCTACAAATTCCTCATTACCAACAGTTCAGTTATGATACAACTGAACCATCCCACGTTTTTTTTCCCTAAAGTTTATTCCACTCTACATTTTACCCAAGGTGAAACAGCCCATTCTTGTAATCTAAAGGGGATTAAATTGCATTCATCACATATTTTCGCTATCTAACTGTACCGACTTCCTGACTCACGAATGCCCCACACTATAGGAGCATACAGTATGATGACCTTTTCAGTGTCTGCCCTCTCCAAACCGGCCACAACAGAAGCCCTTTCAACAGGACGACGTGTAGGTGTGAGACCAAAACCAGGGCCCACTCAAGGTGAAGACTGCAGCAGATGGTCAGCTGATGCCCAGACCACTACAACCCTTTTCCATAACTCACAGAACAGAGCAAACAATATGAGCTGTGTAAACGCAACACATAGGCTATGTACAGCATTTATTCAGGAAACATTGTTGAACTGACATTTCAAGTGTGCTGCAAACATGCCATTATTCATGTAGACATGTTTTCTGTAAAATAATCAATACATATTTTTAACCAGTGTAACAATTTTTAACACATTTTTTCTGAATAGTAGAGTAACTTTTATGATGGTAAGAAAGAGCCTTGATACTAGTTGAAACCATTGATGACAAAGTATGCACATGTCGTTCATTTTAAACGCTCTAACTGCATGTCTTATTATCACTACTATTTGACTAGTTATATTGTGTACTTCTTGTGAAAACCACGACTTGTACACACAACATTCTTGTGAATTCTGCAGAGTCATGAGAGCCACAAGAACAAACCAAAACAACAAATCACATTAGGCAAGACCAGTCTTTTGGCTCTGCTGCTATGCCATCTCACCATTGTAAACCAGAGAAGTCAAAGTAAAACAATAACAAACAAAAAAATCATTCAGAATCATACAGTTTTAAAAAGGAACTGTGGAACACCTGAAATTGCGACAAAACCACAGTGTTATCCAAAAGCTGTGCACCAGGTCACGCAGAGAAACAACAGGAGTCAGAAAACTCACCGTGTGGAGAGAGCGTGTGGGGCGTCCTGCTGTTGTGTGGACTCAGAGGCCGAACTGCTGAAGCTCTGAAGCCCCCAGCCAGACCCTCCCACTACAAGTCATGTGACACCTCTTTACAGAAGGACGCACCCACTTGTAAGCAGGCCTTTTCAACATGGACCACAGGAGAACCGGAGAACAATACTCGTGATTTCTGGTGAATTTGAATACTGCCATAGTCCATGGAGCAGTGGTTTACAAACGGTGACTCAGTTTGTAGATCTTTTATTTTTCCACAATGACATTCACCTCATGGCCTTATTTGACTTTGATTTCAAAAAGGGTGCATGCTGTAAGTTTATGTTTGAAAGTCCATTACTTTAGTGGAGTACTATGGTTCCATGTGTGATTACAGAGCGAGTGAACAGCTGTGTAATTACACACCAGTGCAGAGGCGAGTGCCACCTCAGCCACATGCCACAGACACCTGCATTCCTCAGAAGGAGCCTTCACTTTTGGTGGTGGAACATGTAGACACTGTTCTGCTGAGGGGAATATCAGTAATGGATCAGATTTAAGAAAACTGCCTTATCGCACAAGGTACAACATGCATTTTTAATTTCTCCTTGTTCAAAGAGCAATATAATCAAAAGATCTAATGCCTTCAGTCAAAAAAAAACTTTTCATGAGAACTTCATGCAAGTTAGCATCCGGTAGAGAACTACAAGTACAAGTACACACAATATCAAAAGGGCAAGGACAATGGTAATCCATGTAGATTTTCAACATACATTGAAAGAGCTTATGAAAATGTCTGCCTCAATTTTTATGTTTATGTGCAGCACAAATGTTACTTGAAATACAAATAAAAAAAATTAAAAAAATCAGTTAAATTTAATGCATAAAAGTAGAGCTGCAACTA